ACTTTTTTAAATTACATCTGAAAAATGGAGAATGACAAAAAAAGAAAACCCTCAAAATACGTAAATGACAATTAAATACTGCCAAATGATAATTATTATTTAATCTTTATGAACTTGTCTGACATTTTGATTTTCAACAAAATGATATATTTGCTTGTAATGACTATTGTGTGGTGATAAATGACTAATTTAATTAGGCAATTGATTAAAGGGTATAAAAAATGACTATTTCTTTTCATAAATTTATTCATTAGTCAAGTGCAAGTACTGTTATAGCTTGGGAAATGAATACTTTGATTGGACTATTAGCTAAAACAAAATAGAAATCACTTTCGTTATGCAAACTTGTGATTTATAATCAGATTAAAAAATGATTTTCTTGCTGTAAATTTGTGATTTATAAATGAATTAGAAAATAATTATTTTAATTCATTGCACTTGATTGATAAACAAATTGTTTACATAAAAAAATTAATTTTTTCATTCTGTTTTAATTTAATAACCCAATCAAAATAATTATTTCCCAACTTATAATAATTATCAAGGTAAAAATGTGAGAAAAATGTCTAGGAACTAAATAATTGTAATTGGCATATTTCAGTTTTTTTTTTCACTACTACAAAAAAAATATATAAAAAATTATTTTTTATAATATTAAATAATTATAAATCATTAAATAATTAAGCGTTGAATATTCTATATGCATATATTTAATGATTTTTAATTGTTGAATATTATAATAATATTCAACGGGTTTTTCTTAAAACCATGTAATAAATTTATAATATTCAACAGTTATATGAATAAAATCATTAAATATTATTAAAATATTAAACTATTTTTTAATATATAAAAATATTCGATGATTTTAAATATAACCATTAAATATTATTTCACTGTATATTTGATTACAATATTAAACAATTTTTTTTGAATAAATGTTTAATATTATGATCATTTTTTTAAATACCAAATTGTATTTCTAACAACTCCTGCATTAAACATTTATCAAATACAATTTCAACACTTAAAATAGAATTTGATCACTAGCCGACAATAATTATATACATGAAAATTATATTATAAGTTCCTGAACAAATTATATAAAATTTGATGTTGTTTAACTTAAACTAATTAATGGCTAAAATAAAATTTCAAATCCCAAAAATTAATCAAGTATACCTATATCTATGTCAACTTTAAATATATACCTATAGGATGTATCTCTTACTATTGTTGGTTGTTATAGTTAAATTATGCTTGAAAAATACTACAAATTAGCTCTTCAAGGACTTCTTCCATTTGAGTCTCAATATATACGTCACAGTATGCGTCCTCATGGTACTGATCAATACAAAAGCAAAAACAACAAATTAAAATCATGTTAGTTTGTTTGTTGTTTTTCCTCCAAAAAAAAAACTAGTGCAAGTTATTTCTAAAAATAATTGAATCCGAATATCAGTTGATAATACTGGATACTGTTGGACTGCCACTAAATCCTTCAATTTTTACTTGAGGCTCTTTTTTTTCTTCCAGAGAAAAAATGGTGTGTCTAAATTTCAATAAGAAAATCTGGTTTGTGACAAAGAAATACAATGTTAACATAATACTACACAGAAACAGTAAATTTATTTAAATTATAGTCATTTTAAAAATATTAAATGAAACTTCGTTATATACGTTGAATTAAATTAGCCCAAGGCGAGGCAGAGTATTTCAATCATCGGACCTGATTCATGGTGGGAATTTTCTTGGACCATAAATTTTGAAAGCCACCATATCACAAAACGCCAATGAATGGGTCAATCGAGAGTGGAACACGTGGGCATGAACCTTTCCTACGTGAGAATCTTACCTTAGTGACAATAAATTACTAGTTCAGCTTTAGACATATGGTTTGGGAAGCTTGCATAAAATTCCATAGCCATGCTTAATTGAAAAATTCCATGCTCCAGAAACTTGACCATTCAATGCCCAGTTTTGAGGCAAGCTGTTCATTGACCAACCATGTCTTAGGGTTTCACAATAAAGCAGTAATTTTTTTTTTCCAAAAACATTTTATATTTTGAGTCATCAGATCACCTCAAAATTTATCTTGTAAAATAATAGAGAGGAAGTAATCTTTTAATTAGTGATATTCCAACATGATAATGTTGATGATTTGTTCGGTAAAACTGAAGTTTATCACCCCCTCCTACTAATATTCACATAAATTAAAAAAAAATAGTACGAGCACTCATCTATATGCCTAGAAAGTGATCTTAAAATGCATTTAGTTAACAAATATATAAATATCACATGTTTTATTTTATTTTGAATAATATACTAATTCAGGTAAAAAAGATTAAAAAATATTGAGTTTGGGGTGATAAAAAGGGTTTAAAATCCCTAATTCACCATTCAATTCAATTATATATTTTAAAAATCCATGAAACAGTGAGTTAAAATTAATTATCTCATCTCTTATATTTTATTCGATTCACATATAACACTTAGTTAATTAATTCATAGATATTAAAATTTTTTGGTTGAGATAGTTACTTGTCTTCTAAAAATGTATATAATTTCCTCAAAAATACTTCCAAATAGAGTGAGCATTATATGTGAGGAGAAAAGTGAGAATAAAAAACTATAAAATTAGTAAGAGTAATTTAAAAAAATATTAAATGAGGGAAACTAAGAAGATTGGCATTTTATATTTAAGAACAATGCATTAAGTAATTACCCACTCGTTCCTATTTACAAATCATTTCAACCACATTAATACATTTTGTTAATAGCTGGTGCATTATACTTCCTTTAGTTTTATTAATAAAATATTTTAAATTAAATCTCACAAATTAAGAAAGAAGATTACAATTAGTCAAGAATCTTATTTTTAAAAAAATTATAAAAAATATCAAACTATCATTAATTAAAATTATTAATTTTATTTTTAAATTTTAAAATCAAACATGTCAATCAAATGAACCGGCATTTCTTGAAATAATTCATTAATATTTTATCAAGTTTTATAAGGCGTCTTGCTTCAAGGACCAAATAAAAATTTTAAAATGTGTTTTATGTTAAAAATAGGAGGACTATTCACATTTCCAGGACTGCGAGGCACATTAACTATTACTGCAGATTCCGTGCAGGGTCAAATACGTTGTTGTTATCGTAAAATAGGTTGATTTTTCTGAGTTTTTTTTATTTCATTACTATTTTTAACTTTTAAATTATATACATAGATAAATTCAATTCATCAAATGCAATCCCTATCTGGAATAAATTTCAAAATAAAACGCTGAAGTGGAATATTAAAACGATTTTAAGGCGTGGGACAAGGTCTCTAGAAAGAACATAATAGCGAGTTGAATAATTGATTGGGTCAAAATCCGAAATCATGAATTACGGAACCAAATTAAAAAAATGTTTAATAAGCTAACACTACAATAACTAAAGACGAATAATGGCCAACCAAACCCCCAAAAAAAAAAAAAGCCAAGACATGTGAAGAGATCTGGAAAGAAACAGTAATGAATGTCAACAGGGTTGACATGGTAACCTCAGTGATGATGTGCACGTGTGGAAAATTATCATCATCGCATGTGAGCCCCCAAAAAAACAATTAAACAAAAAAGAAAAAGTAAAACAATTTTGCGAAAAGAATGATTAAGAAAATCCACAATGTTGACTCATGCCCAATGATAGTTCATGATGATGCAACCTCCATTCATAGAACTCAGTCATTCATTCATATATATATATATATATATATATATAAAAGATTCCTCTCTCAAAGGAGAATTCACTTTTTCTCTAATTACATATATATCCCACCTTTTCTCCACAAGAGGGATTATGACATGTTTCCACTCACCAACTTGATTCTCGTTTTTTTATTACCTTTAATCATTAATACCACTAATTACCTCCCATTTTTAATATAAATATCAGTATATTAGTGTATCTGCGAAAATTACCCTTTTCTCTATATTTATAAACCCAATTAGTAAGCTGTTTATTTCATCCTCGCCCGAAGATTGTCATAATTGATTGTTACGAATTAAAAAAGAAATAATTGACTTAATAATTTATCCATTTTTGTTTGACTTTTCTCGTGTCACTAGAAGTAATTTCCTTTTCATTTTGACATTTTTGTAGGAGTTCAACAAAATTCACTTTCTTTTGGCGTGTCAAGAATTTTCATGATCACGTACAAGTAAGATGATAGAGATTAGGATGGACAATTCATCATTAAAAATAAAGAAAAAAGATGAAAAAATCATTCTTCATTTTTTATTCACTTTTCAACATTTTCAAAATTCAAAAAGTCATTATCAACTCCGACAAATCGTTGACCACAGGAAAAAACAAAAAAAAACTCCGACAAATCTAGATTTTTGTGAATACTAATCTATGTTGAATTGCGCTACATCATGAGCGTAAAAAAATGTTTTTCATTTATGAGACTTAAATCTCAAAACTCCATTCACCCAACAAAATATTTTTTAAAATTACATAGTGGTTTCAAATGAAAAAATTAATTACCCATAAGTCATACTTACATGCTTGTCATAGTATTAAAAATTGGGCCAATTTGTCTAGTAAATTGTTGAACCAATACTTTAATCAATTTAATAAAGTAATTGGTTTAATTTAACTACTAATTATGAATTAATGTTTTAATTGGTTCTGATTTTGAGTATCTTAATATAAATACAAAAATTTGAATGGTATGCTAGACAAAGATATAATAATTATTTTTTATTTAAGAGGTGTTTGTAATACATCTTTATTTTTTTTTAAAAAGGTTAAAGTTATAAATGAAAAGAAATATTTTTTTAAAAAATAAAACTGAAGTTGAAAATGAAAGCGAGAAAGGGTGAAAAGAGGAGGGGGTAAAATGGAGAAGAATGAATGATTGAAGAAGCAGAGGGCGTAATAAAGGTAGCAACTTTCCGCTGGTTGAAGCAGAACGTGCTTTTCATGAGAGACCCCTTTTTCCCTCCCACTCTTTTACCTACAAAACTCCACCAAAGGTAAAGCCACAATACAGCGCAGGTCAAAATCCTCATTCCTCATTCAGCACACCACCACTCAACCGCCTCTTCTTCTTCTTCTTCCTCGCTTACCTCATCTCATGGCAGCCTCGCTCCTCCTCTCAATTAATGCTCTTATTCATTCTCATTCCTCCTCCACCAACCTCCCTTGTATCCCATTCTAACCTTTCAACCCCACTTGCCTCTTTCCTCTCTTTCCCTTTCACGCATTCAATAATCTCCCTTCTCTCGGTTTTCGTGCTCCATTCTTGCTTTTTTTATAGATCTCCTTTCCCTTCTCTCCTCTCATAGTTGCTCTCTGAGATCTGGGTTTTGCTCCGTTCGGCTTCTCTTTTCTCCTGGCCGACATTTTGTGGGTTTCTTCAGATCTTGAGCTCAAATGGGGAGCAAATGGAAGAAGGCGAAGCTGGCTCTGGGTTTGAATCTCTGTGTCTTTGTTCCCAGAACTTCAGACGACATGGATTCGCCTCCCGCCACGGAGGTTTCCGACAGGTTATCTGATGCTGCTCTGCTTTCGCCGGGAAATTGGGACATGGCTTCCTCGCGATCGAGATCAGCCGCGCCGGTGACTTCTTCGCACGCTTTAAAGCTGTCCAAAAGTGCGAGCAAATCGTCCAAGGTCCGTCTCCTTTCCTCCATCACCGGTTTTTTTTTTTCTTTCCCAAAAGTCCAAAACTGTTATTGTGGTCGTTGGTGTTTCAAATTGCGCAGCGTTATGTTGAATCAGATGTGACATGACTCTTCAACCAACACTTTAAGCACTGCATATGCTATTGATATCTTGTTCTATGTCCGTGTGATCTTTCATGCTTTTTGTATTTTGATAAGCTGTGCTCAGTTTCGTTGCTGAGAAAATGGACTTAGTGAGGATGAGAAAATAGGACATAAAGAATGGAAAATTTACCGAGCTCGATTGATTACCTTATTTTCTGGTTTCATTAAAAAATGAGAAAAAAGTTCAATTCTGCAAAAAATTTAGAAACCTCTTTTTCTAGCCGTTCTCATCCTATTTAGCTGTAAGTAGAGGTTAGGTAATTTGTTGTGGTGGGATTTATTGTTGTAATAAATCGAATTATAGTTCGAGTAATCTTAGGATAATAGTAGGCATATTATTATAAAGAAAAAAAGAAGAATGGAGGACGTTGTATACTGAAATTTGAAAATTACCTAGGCTGATTTAAAAATCCTACAATTTCTTTTTTTTTTAAATTTTATGAAATATTATTATCATTAATAATACTGTACATGGATTTTTTCTTGTTTGCCTTTGTTTTATTTCCTATTTTCAACGTTGTTATGACATGGGTAGGTGATAGAGCTGTCAGCTTTCATGAATTGTTTTTCAAACTTTCGATGTTATGTGTGAGTTTGTGATTTGAAGTTCTTTTTTAATCAATAATGCTTTATATACAATTGCGGGACCTCATCCTGATATAATTGATGACTGCTCGTTTCGACATCTGTGTGCACAACGAGTTCTTGTGGATAAGACTTTTTTCTTTTCCTTTTTCTAATCGTCAAGTTTTGCTTTATAAGAAAAAAAAGTATACATGCATGGCACAATAACCAGTTTGTTCATCAGTCAAATCAAATTAGCTGAATGTGAGAGCCGAGTATGAACTGGCTCGCTGAGAATTTACTTTTTGTGGAGGAGTGTTCATATTGCCTGGTTAAAGGCTTTCCTGCTGCACAGAGTATGAAAATCTGCGTGTTTGTGGGACATATCTCTTGATTGATAATTTACGATCTTCCTTTGGGAGAAAAATATGAAAACTGAAAAAGGAAGATGAGAAAGCGAAATGGATGTTATCTTGGAAAGCAATTTATCATCTTCCCTTTCCACGATGCATGAATTTTGCCTATTTTCTTTCCTTGTCTTGATAGCTTGGTTCAGCAGTATTAGTGTATCTTCTTGATAAACATTTAAAAAGTAATAGGCTAATAGCAAAAGTTGTGTGCATGAATTATCTTCTTACATGTATTTTTGTAAAATTGTTGGGATTCAAGCATCTATGGCTCTTATCTTAACACCTTTTTTTCCTTCTTGTTCAGCAAACCTGCTCAATATGCTTAACCAAAATGAAGCAAGGATGTGGGCATGCTTTGTTCACTGCAGAATGTTCGCATTCCTTCCATTTTCACTGCATTGCTTCAAATGTGAAACATGGAAACAAAATATGTCCAGTGTGCCGAGCAAAGTGGAAGGAAATACCGTTGCTGGATCCCAGTTTGGATCCTCTCCCAGGCCGAGTTTCACCGAATAATGCTTTCATGGCAGTTGTCCATGGCCTTCCTCGACCACCCCCTCGACGAGATTTAAATAGACGACATGTTGTTCCACTTCATCAGGCTCCTGAACCAGGTGTATTTGATGATGATGAATCCTTAGATCTCCAACATATATGTTCTACTAAGAGTGTTTCTGATACGGGTGCTGTCAAAACAATAGAGATTAAAACATACCCTGAAGTGTCAGTTGCTCCACAGTCCAACTCTTATTGTAACTTTAATGTTTTGGTCCATCTCAAGGCCACTGCTGTAGCAGCAGCCACCAGAACACAAAACCTGAGTAGAAATCACGCTAGCTCAACACCGGTTTCTCAGACTCCACGTGCTCCTGTTGACCTAGTGACAGTGCTTGATATTAGCGGTAGCATGGCTGGCACTAAGCTTGCACTACTAAAAAGAGCTATGGGATTTGTTATCCAGAACTTGGGCTCAAATGACCGGCTATCGGTTATTGCTTTCTCCTCCACAGCTCGCCGACTGTTTCCTCTGCGCAGAATGTCTGACTCTGGGCGGCAACAAGCTCTGCAAGCTGTTAACTCATTGGTTGCAAATGGGGGTACAAACATTGCTGAGGGCCTGAGAAAAGGTGCCAAGATAATGGAAGAACGAAGAGAAAAAAATCCAGTTGCCAGCATAATACTGTTGTCTGATGGGCAAGATACTTACACTGTTGGCGGTTCTGGTACTAACCAACCACAACTGAACTACCATTTGCTTTTGCCTATGTCTATCAGTAATCGTGGCACTTCAGGATTCCAAATTCCTGTGCATGCTTTTGGATTTGGTGCAGATCATGATGCCTCATCAATGCACTCTATTTCAGAGAATTCTGGAGGGACCTTTTCCTTCATTGAGACTGAATCTGTGATACAGGATGCATTTGCACAGTGCATTGGTGGACTTTTGAGCGTAGTGGTTCAGGAGCTGCAAGTCTCAATTGAGTGCATAGATGCAAATCTCAACCTTGTCTCGCTTAAGGCTGGAAGTTACCCAAACCGTGTGATGGCTGGTGGACGCCAAGGATTTATTGATGTTGGAGATTTGTATGCTGATGAGGAGAGAGATTTCCTAGTTTCAGTTAATGTCCCTGCTGCTTCTGGCAATGAAACATCGTTAATAAAGGTCAACTGTGTTTACAAGGATCCATTAACTCAGGAGACAACAATATCCGAAAGTGAAGAAGTAAAGTTGGAGAGGCCTGAAAAAGTTGGGCAAGTGGTTAAGTCGCTTGAAGTGGACAGACAGCATAACAGGCTTCAAGCAGCTGAGGCGATGGCCCAAGCACGAAGGGCGGCTGAACGCGGAGATTTGACAGGTGCAGTGTCAATCCTTGAAAACTGCAGAAAAATGCTCTTAGAGTCTATTTCAGCCAGATCTCAGGATCGCCTTTGTCTTGCACTGGATGCTGAACTCAAGGAAATGCAAGAGAGGATGGTGAGTCGGCACGTGTACGAAGCATCGGGGAGGGCATATATTCTCTCTGGACTGAGTTCCCACTCTTGGCAAAGGGCAACAGCAAGAGGTGATTCCACTGATAGTTCAAGTCTTGTTCAAGCATACCAGACCCCGTCGATGGCTGAGATGCTCACTCGATCTCAAGCCTCGTTTCTAGGTAGTCCATCAGGCCAGAGGCTTCTCCAACCATTGTTGTCATACAGGTCACAAACAAAGCCAAGGTAATGGGAGGGATGAACACACAGGAATTTTGTGGGAGAGATGAACACAAGATTTATATGTGCTGTGATTTTGTTGTTTAATATGTATAAATGAATAAAATTGAGAAAAGGGTGGAGGGTAATATTCAAGGGGATAAATGAGGAGTAGATAGGAATTCAGTACATTATGTTCCTTAATTTCTTTCTTTCGTTCTTTCTTTCTTCTTTTTTTTTTGGGGGGGGGGGGAGATGATGGGGTGGAGGGTTCTGGGAGAAATTCTTACATAAAATGCATGGGCAAGCTATACAAAGAGGAACCGCTGAATGTTTGGATTCACTGAACCACCATGATAAGGTGCCTCTATATTGACTTGTTGCACCAAGTGGTGGTGCCAAGGGTGGTGAATGTTTGAATTTCTCAGGGTCAAGCTTTGTTCTGGTCATTGATGTACTTGTCTTTTTGGGAGGGGTCTGTACATACGGTGGAATGTTTTTTCCCCGAGACCTGGGTATAGAAGTTTGTATTTGTGCAGATGGTTGGGATGAACTCATGAGTAAAATATATAAGTTTTCAATCTTTTCACAAGTTGTTTGTTGAGCCTGTTAGTCGTATCATCTCTCTCTCTCTCACGCCCGAGCACACAGGCATGAAAATTCGAAACTAGCAAGTGATAACATTCTGAGATGCGGATGGTTCTGCTCGAGTTTTCCTTCTAAGCTCATGCAGCTACTTGACAGGTCTCTCTGGTTTGTGCACTAAAACTGTTTTTGTTTCACCCTCACGTATGCATGTATGCATGTAACTTTGAACCATTTAAGATTCGTTTTTCAGTCAAGAAAACCATCCTTTTTTAAAAAAAATACAGGAGAAAAGAAAAAAAAAACAGAAATACAACAAGCTGAAAAATAAAAACCAAGGCCCATGCCCCACATTCGAGATAGCTCCCGGAGAAGCAGCGAGAGCATGTTTAGCTAGGCAATCGGCATCAGTAACCGCACTACGATCAGCTCTAACCAAGTTCACGTGCCATTCCCTTCGCATCAGACTCTTGATATTCTCTAAAATGCGGCAATCCTCATGTACAGGGTGAACTGGGTTTTCATTCAGTGAAACTGCATCAGCAGTCATTATTCATAAAATAGCTTGAGCCATACACATGAGAATACCTTTTGCTAGGGCGATGACACTCTCAGTGCTTGAAGACTTCTGCTCGAAGATTCTCTCATTTCTAAGTTTCCATAACAACCAGCATGTCGTCGCAAATAATTCAGCCCATTGCTCAGTGTTTCGTCCAGCACTCCTCTTCAGATTCCTTGACCGCCAGTATTTCAGTGAAACAGAAAAAAGGTGTCAAGCATATTGGGCTGGATGACTCCCATCCAGACATTCCGAGCTTCAGGGCAGTGACATAGAACGTGTAAAGTACCTTCAACCTCAACACCACACACATCCAGTGGCAGAGCTACGTTGCTCTGAAGGTGGACAGATACCCCCTAAAATGTGAAAGCTGTATAAATATTTTTGTTTGATTTACACTGTGATCCCGCTCGTTTTTTGATATGCCCCAGCAAGTACAAATCCAAGGAATAGAGAGAGAGAGAGAGAGAGAGAGAGAGAGAGTAGCAAAGCGCGTGAGGTGTTGAGATTGAATTAGAATAATAATTTCAATCAAACAGCAGTATCGCTAAAATCAAAATAAAAATATAAAACAATGTTATTGCTGTTCATATTTTAAGGGAAAAAAACTTATATTGTTCTTGGGTGTGTTAATATATGCTTTTTAAGATATGGTTTTAAATGGGTGACGTTTTATTCAGGTAAAAAAAAAAATTGCCTGACATTGTTATATTATATATTTCCAATCAATTAAACATGATTTATGATCAATGGTTTTTAAATTTTTTTATATTTTAAATTTGAGTACAAAATAAAATAACTTGATAAAAGAAAACTAATATCAAGATCAATATAAAATATAAGAGACACAGTTTTTTTAAACTTCAAGCAAATGCATAAGATTTGCTCAACATTAAATAAGTAATAACAATCATTTAAGGCTTATAAATCAAATTTTTTATGATATTAATTTATAAAATTTTTCATCAAAAATAAAAAAGTATACAATTTATTCAATTTTATAAATATATTCTCACAAATAATTTAAATAGTTATACAAATAAATTAATTTTTATATAATTTTAATATTCGTGTATATAACCTCACATGATTATATATGCATAACCATTCTTAGTCGCCCCCACTAGTTGCGGGTCCTAGATTTGTCGCTGCACACATCAGAGCAAGAATAAGACCCCAGATATCTTGAAGAGCAGCCCACATGAAAGGCTTGCATCTTCAAAGTATATCTGTAATTTCCATATACGGTTCCAAACAGGATCATTATCACGGGCATTCTCAACAAGCATCTCATACGCAGATTTAATGGTGAATCTCCCACTCTTCTCTTCTTTCCATCTAACAACCCCATTCCCTTCTCTATTTTGGATCCTTTCTAAACCTTTCTCCACATTCTCCCAATTATTCCTAATACCACGCCATAAAGGGGATCCAGCACGCGATCTTTCAATACTCGGAATAAAATCACTTCCACACTTATACTTACTCCGAATAACTTGAGCCTATAACGAAACCATTCTTTATACAAGGTGTTTCAGACATTTTTCAAGGAGATAAAATAAAATATCTAGATTGTTCTATTTGTTTTAAAACATGTCATTATTTTAAGATAGAAGACTAAGTTGGCTTTTAAATTATAGGTTTAAGGGAGTGCTTGGGATTCTAAATTCATTATTTAGTATAATATTTTCTTTCAACTTTTGAAAACGACGCAATTCAATTCCTACCGTTAATAAAAGTTAAGTTTAACTATTAGTTAATCAGAAAGTGACAATGAAAAACTTCAAAAATTACATAAAATAACCAATAAAAATTTCTTATTCATTGTTTGTAATTTTTTGAGTCTTTTATTACTTTTTTTGTTCAAAAATATATGATATTTTTATTCGAATCTCGTCTCTTAATAAAGTAATTATCTATTTTCAAACTAATTCTATCCTTTCATATTTAACTTTATTAAATACCTTACAATAAATATGAAGTCATTATCAATGGAGACACTTTTGAAAAAAGACAATGATTATACCTTAAAAGATTAAAAATGTCTTACATTTTTTAACATCTAACTTCTCAAAAAATGCCTTACATTTTTTAATAGAAAAAATATAATTTTTTTGATCCTTTTCTATCATTTTTTTGTCAATTAATGGTCAAAACTAACTTTTGTTAATAGTAAGAGCTAAATTGTATCATTGTTAAAAATTGAAATGGAATATTGTACCAAATAAATTTAGGGTGTCAAACTCTCTTGGATTCATAGTTTAAGAATCAATTTACCCTTTTGTCCTAATTTTAATTATTCCTTATTGATTCATTTTTGTACTTTGTGCAATCATATCATGTCTTGTTATTAAAATTATAAGAGCCAAAATAAAATATATGGGTATCTTGTTATTTAGAGAAGTTTTCTATTTTTTTAAGACATTTATAAGGAATTAAAAGAAGTATTCTCTCTTCCATTCAATATTATAAGATATTCTTTTAAAATATTATATCAAAAAATATAAAGTATTTTGAATCTTTTGATATGTGATTAATAACATTTTTAAGTATGAGTGTAAATAATAAAATTTTTAATTGATACATCCTATTAAATAAAGATAAACATAAAAATATTACGTAAGTTTAAAAATAATTAACAAAATTATTAAGAGTATAATTAAATTGAAAGTACCTTATAAAGTAATTTTCTTATGGAGTCCTTTTAAAGTAATTTTTAAAGTCTTTTTCTATAATTTTTTAGGTCAATAAATGATTAAACTTAATTTTTTTAAACAGAAAATATAAAATTGTACCATTTTTAAATGTTGAAGGGGATATTATATGATAAAAAAATTTAAGATACTAGATGTTCCTACATAAATAGTTAAAGGATAAAAATATCCTTTTAATGCTAAATTTTATCATCTATAGCTACATTGAATTGGTAACATAAAAATTTAGTTTCAACTTTGCTTCTTGTTCATCATTTGTGGGCTATGTAAATCCCAATAACCCAACAGCATTTGTTCAGTCAGATTATGCGGGTATTGCCCACATCATGTACTGTGTTATTATATCCACATGGCTTGATGAATTGAAATGTATTATTATTCAATAATACACGGCTTTCCAACCCAATGGTTATTGGGAGGTATGCAAGGTATAAAACTAGACGAGATATAAGCCTCAACACATTTGGCACAAAATTTATAACTTGTGACTAAGTTTATGGTTGATATTTTATTGGAAATTTTATATTTTATAATAATTAAAAGCAATGCATCAAAAAGTATAAAATGTTTAGTTTATTTCTGTTGGTCAAGTAGATAATTTTCATATTAAAAAACTGTGATTGGGGCGGAAAACTATATTACAGACTAACAATAATTTGAATGGAAGACCCTTTTAATGAAACCACAAGCATTATGTAATCTCTTTTTCACTTTTTGCCCGTCTTAGTATAAGATAGAGTAGATGTTTCTGGAATATTATCATTTATCAATGGAGACATTTAAAAAAAAAAATAAAATCCATTGGACAATAAGAGTTGATTTATTTATTTTTTATATGACCATTTAACAAGGTCATGTCTGAGCATTGTCAAGCATAAATGGAGATATTTTTTACAAAAATTATTGTTAAAAATTATTTTTAACAAGGTCATGTTTGAGCATTGTCATAGACTCATAATCTCTTTTTTTTTTTTTTGAGCAAAAAACTCATAATCTCTTTTATTAGGATCAATGGTTAATTTATCTATTTTCTTGATCATTATGGGTCACCTTGAAAGCATTGGAAAATGTGGCCCAAAAAGGAAGTGGATAAATGGACCCAAAATGGGCCATTGCATTTGAAGCATAAAATAATGGGCTAGATAGTAGGCCCACATAGGTGAGACGGAGACTAGTAAGTATATAGACTTCGAGTCTTCCTCATTCGTCAATTGCGGGGGAGTAACCAAGAGCTAGCAATGGAAGCTCTTCTGCGGGTCCGATTATTACCTCTTGCTCTCTTCATTTCTCTTCTTCTATCAGTTCTTTCACAGGCTTCTTCTCAAGAGCTTCAGATCGTCAATGCCGAACGCAGAGTACGCTTTCCAAGATTACTTTCTCTCCTCTTTTACATTTTATCATAAGTAATTTTTATCTGGCTATCTTTACGTCAAATTGGTTCCGGATGTCTGTTTTCAATTTTCTGTGGAAATCGAATGTTTTTCTGCTTCTTGGAAATGCTTGGGAGAGAAGTTACGTGTTGCTATTCTGATTGGAAGCCTGCGTTTTCTTGAATTCTGATTGTAACGTAATTTATCTGTTGTCTCTACTTGTTTGTCTTGATTTTCTTTTGTATCAACACAATTAAGGCACGTGTTGTCGCTTAAGACCTGAGGAACATGTGTGAATGTTGTTCAGGATGCTAATTACGGTTAACGTGTTTTAGGATATCCATCGTTCGAGATCTGAGGGAAA